CGGTGGAGTCTAATGTCAGAGTCCTGTTCTTCAGGGGACTGGTTACTGGTTACTGAATGATGGGTGAAATGATAGGTCAAAGGCCAAAGGTCACCTGTGAATACACAGAGGACCTGTTTGTTCAGCCCCCTCCTTCTGCAGCTTCCTCACACAGAGCAGACGTTGACTGCCCCCTGGCTGCAGCACTGACTCCTGCTCTGTATTCCTGTCAGTCGTCCTCTGGCCCACATCAGTGCAGGAGCAGGTGCAGCAGCCGGGGCCAGGAGCCAGCCTTTTAATTACAGCCATGTGGGCTTGTTTTAATGTGCAGATGATGAGTCTGACCCAGACCAGACCGGGGTCCAGACACAGACCTGGACCCACAGCTTGATGGCTTAGTTTGAGCAGCTTAGTTTTGCTAACCTTTAGCCTTTCCTTAGCCCAGTGTAGCTGTGATTGGCTGCTCCTCTCACAGTCCAGACCTTTTAAAACTCAACAACACTTCATTGAAGTGCAGACCAGCAGAGGGAGCCACATTTACAAGCTAATCACAAAGACGACCATGTCTGCATTCTGATTGGCTGTGGTCCGTCAGTAACAGTAACAGTAGTAACAGTAACAGTAACAGTTACAACAGTAACAGTAACAGTAACAGCAGTAACATTAACAACAGTAACAGCTACAGCAGTAACAGTAACAGTAACAACAGGAACAGTAACAGCAGTAGCAGTTACAGCAGTAACAGTAGCAGCAGTAACAGCAACAACAGTAACAGCTACAGCAGTAACAGTAGCAGCAGTAACAGCAGTAACAGTAGCAGTTCCAGCAGTAACCGTAACAGCAGTAACAGAAACAGCAGCAGTAACAGAAACAACAGTAACAGCAGTAACAGGAGCAACAGTAACAGTAACAGTAACAACAGTAACAGTAACAGTAACAGCAGTAGCAGTTACAGCAGTAACAGAAACAACAGTAACAGCAGTAGCAGCACCAGCAGCAGTAACAGGAACAGCAGTAACAGCTACAGCAGTAACAGTAACAGTTACAACAGTAACAGTAACAGTTACAACAGTAACAGTTACAGCAGTAACAGTAGCAGTTCCAGCAGTAACCGTAACAGCAGTAACAGGAGCAACAGTAACAGTAACACCAGCAGTAACACTAACAACAGTAACAGGAACAGCAGTAACAGTAGCAGCAGTAACAGTTACAGCAGTAACAGGAGCAACAGTAACAGTAACAGTAACAGTAACAGTTACAGTAACAGCAGCAGTAACAGTTACAGCAGTAACATTTACAGCAGTAACAGTATCAGCAGTAACAGCAGTAACAGTAGCAGCAGTAACAGCAGCCCCTCCCCCTCTAATCTGCAGCTGTACAGTAACAGGTCCTGCAGCCGGGGGTTGACTCTCTCCACCACAGACTGGTCCTAATCTGTAAATCCCTCCATCCAGGTCACCCCCCCCCACCCACCCACAGGGGGAGCAGCAGTAACTGTGTCTGTCAGACAGTGATTTCATCAGTTTATTATGGGATGTTGACGTCCTCTTGTCTCCGTCCACATCAGCCCCCCCCCCATCCTTGTCCTGATGATCAGAGACAGAAGAGGAGAAAAAAGACCGATGACCTTTAACCTCAGAATCACCAGTCCTGACATTTCACTGTGTGTGTGTTTCTTCAGGGGGGGGGCAGGATGGTGAAGGACCCCCAGCCTGGACCTGGGGGTGTCCGTAGGAAGGACTGGCACGACCACGAGGCCATCAAACGTGACGCGTCTCGCTCTGGTGAGTCTGGACCGCAGCCGCTGAAACTAAATGTCTAAGAAATAAAACAAGATGGAAGCTAAAGGTTAGCCTGTGAATGAGCTGAAGGGTAGCCTGTGAATGAGCTGAGGGTTAGCCTGTGAATGAGCTGAAGGGTAGCCTGTGAATGAGCTGAAGGTTATCCTGTGAATGAGCTAAAGGTTAGCCTGTGAATGAGCGGAAGGTTAGCCTGTGAATGAGCTTAAGGTTAGCCTGTGAATGAGCTGAGGGTTAGCCTGTGAATGAGCGGAAGGTTAGCCTGTGAATGAGCTGAAGGTTAGCCTGTAAATGAGCTGAAGGTTAGCCTGTGAATGAGCGGAAGGTTAGCCGGTGAATGAGCTGAAGGTTAGCCTGTAAATGAGCTGAAGGTTAGCCTGTGAATGAGCTGAGGGTTAGCCTGTGAATGACCTAAAGGTTAGCCTGTGAATGAGCTGAAGGGTAGCCTGTGAATGAGCTGAGGGTTAGCCTGTGAATGAGCTGAGGGTTAGCCTGTGAATGAGCTGAAGGGTAGCCTGTGAATGAGCTTAAGGTTAGCCTGTGAATGAGCGGAAGGTTAGCCGGTGAATGAGCTGAAGGTTAGCCTGTAAATGAGCTGAAGGTTAGCCTGTGAATGACCTAAAGGTTAGCCTGTGAATGACCTAAAGGTTAGCCTGTGAATGAGCTTAAGGTTAGCCTGTGAATGAGCTGAGGGTTAGCCTGTGAATGAGCTGAGGGTTAGCCTGTGAATGAGCTGAGGGTTAGCCTGTGAATGAGCTGAGGGTTAGCCTGTGAATGAGCGGAAGGTTAGCCTGTGAATGAGCGGAAGGTTAGCCTGTGAATGAGCTTAAGGTTAGCCTGTGAATGAGCTGAAGGGTAGCCTGTGAATGAGCTGAAGGTTAGCCTGTGAATGAGCTGAAGGGTAGCCTGTGAATGAGCTGAAGGGTAGCCTGTGAATGAGCTGAAGGTTAGCCAAGGACTAGCAGAGCTGAACCGTCCTGAAGATCTTCTCCTTCCTCCTGCTCCAGGTCACGGTGAACAGGGGAAACCCTTCCCTCTGACCGACGCCGACCGCGTGGACCAGGCCTACAGGGAGAACGGCTTCAACATCTACGTCAGCGACCGCATCTCCCCGACGTCCCCGACATCAGACACCCGAAGTGAGTCCTGTCCGTCGGTGACCCCGGTCAGACCGCAGTCAGGGGTCACTGCGTCCTGGACCCTGGACCAGGACCAGGGCTCAGCTCTGACCTTTGACCTGCCCCCCAGTTCTACTTCCTGTTTGTTCTATATTGTTGTGTTTGTCTTCATCTGCCGCCACGACCTCTTCATCCTGTTGGGTTAAACCTGGGTCCAAATGTCAGAGGTCATGTCACAGGTGTGGACACTCAGAGGTCAGGTGTGGACACTCAGAGGTCAGGTGTGGACACTCAGAGGTCAGGTGTGGATCATGAATCATGTGACTGAGGCTGAACAGTTGTGTCGTGAACTGAGCTGTGTTCAATTCAGGAGTCTTTATATCTAGGTGTCTTAACTAAACTCAGACTTAACTGAACTCAGACGTAACTAAACTCAGACTTAACTAAACTCAGACGTAACCAAACTCAGACGTAACTAAACTCAGACTTAACTAAACGCAGACGTAACTAAACTCAGACTTAACTAAACTTAGCTAACTGTAATCAGCTGTTGTTAAACCACAAACTCAGAGTTGGACCTCTGCGGTTTAATCTGAAGGTTCCTGAGTCCACTTCAAGAACCGGACCCTGGTCCGAGGTCTGGTCTCCTCCATGACTGCTCACACAATTGAAACTTGTCTCTGATTGGCTGACGTCCACGTGTCGACCTTTGACCTTGTGTGTGCGTGTGCGTGTCCAGCTGCAGACTGAAGCTGTACTCGGAGCGTCTTCCCAACACCAGCATCATCATCCCGTTCCACAACGAGGGCTGGTCGTCTCTGCTCAGGACGGTCCACAGCGTCATCAACAGATCTCCAGCTGAGCTGGTGGCTGAGGTCATTCTGGTGGACGACTTCAGTGACAAAGGTGGGAGGTCCTCCTCGGAGAAGGTGTGTGGATGCTGCAGCAGGAGCAGATCCTCCTCCTCCTCCTCATGTCCTTCTAACCATGACTAACGTGTTTGTTGACGTCCGTCTGCTCTCCTTCGTCTGATTGGTCCTCTGGCTCCCGTCTCTTCCTGCAGACCACCTGAAGGTTCCTCTGGAGGAGTACATGGTCCGTCTGCCAAAGGTTCGCATCCTGAGGACCAAGAAGAGGGAGGGTCTGATCAGGACCCGGCTGCTGGGAGCAGCTGCAGCCAAAGGACAGGTCATCACCTTCCTGGACTCTCACTGCGAGGCCAACGTCAACTGGCTTCCTCCACTGCTGGGTGAGAAGAACACGTGTTCTCCAGTGAAGATCCACTCTGGGTTCTGAGTGGATCCTCGTCTTCTGGAGAACGTTCGGAAGTCAAAGTTCTGTAGAAGTGACATCACGTCCTCCCGTCTGTCCCCCAGACCGTATAGCGGAGAACAGGAAGACCATCGTGTGTCCGATGATCGACGTCATCGACCACGACAACTTTGGTTACGAGACTCAGGCCGGCGACGCCATGAGAGGAGCCTTCGACTGGGAGATGTACTACAAGAGGATTCCTATCCCTGCAGAGCTGCAGCAGGAGGACCCCAGTCGACCCTTCCAGTGAGCCTGGCTCTGTGACCTCTGACCTCTGACCTCTGGGTGACCTTTGGTGAAGTTCATTCTCGTTTTTGTCGGGTTCTTCTTCTTCTTCAGGTCTCCGGTGATGGCAGGAGGACTCTTCGCCGTGGACAGGAAGTGGTTCTGGGAGCTGGGAGGATACGACACGGGTCTGGAGATCTGGGGAGGAGAACAGTACGAGATCTCCTTCAAGGTACACAGAGAAGGTCACTGACGTGAGCTCTGCTGCCCCCCCCAGGCCAGTCTGCGTCTCCTCCTTCATGTTCATGACCCAGTCTCCCTCTGTAGGTGTGGATGTGTGGAGGTCAGATGGAGGACGTCCCCTGCTCCAGGGTCGGACACATCTACAGGAAGTACGTTCCCTACAAGGTTCCTGGAGGAGTCAGTCTGGCCCGGGTGGGTGTCTGTCAGTCTGTCGGTCATTCTGCTGTAGAGCTGTAGACCACCTGTGTCTGTAGACCCCCTGTCTGTCTGTCTGTCTGTAGCCCGCCTGTCTGTCTGTCTGTAGACCGCCTGTCTGTCTGTCTGTCTGTAGACCGCCTGTCTGTCTGTCTGTCTGTAGACCGCCTGTCTGTCTGTAGACCACCTGTCTGTCTGTAGACCGCCTGTCTGTCTGTCTGTCTGTAGACCACCTGTCTTTCTGTCTGTAGACCACCTGTCTGTCTGTCTGTCTGTAGACCGCCTGTCTGTCTGTAGACCACCTGTCTGACTGTCTCCTCTGCCTCCAGAACCTGAAGCGTGTGGCTGAAGTGTGGATGGATGAATATGCAGAGTTCGTTTACCAGCGTCGACCAGAGTACAGACACCTGTCTGCAGGAGACATGACGTCCCAGAAGGAGCTGAGGAACCGACTGGGCTGCAGGAGCTTCAAGTGGTTCATGACCCAGGTGGCCTGGGACCTGCCCAAACACTACCCCCCGGTGGAGCCCCCCGCCGCCGCCTGGGGGGAGGTACGTGCGGATCTTTAACCTTGGACTCAGAGAGGGTTTCGGGGTTCCTGAAAACCGACCTTGTGTTTCAGATCAGGAACGTGGGCAGCGACATGTGCATGGAGAGCAAACACTTCGTGTCTGGGACGTCCATCCGTCTGGAGAACTGTGTCAAAGGTCGAGGAGAGGTCAGCTGGAGTCATGGACAGGTGGGTGATGTTGAATGTCCAGAAGACCCTGACCCCCCGACCCCCCTCACCCCCCTCCCACTGTAGAGAAAACCATTTTAATGTCCAACACTTTGGTCAAACGTGGTTTTTTGGTGACTTCACTGACATAAACTGACCACACGAGGCAGCAGTGGAGCAGCAGCTCCTGTGTCTGTGAGGTTTCTTTATCCACAGGTGATTTTGGGATTCTCTCTGACACGTTCTCCAGTCAGGTCACACTGAGGAGTGAGAACCAGAGGAAACACGTCGTAGATTCCTGTTTTATTTCCAATAATCGATTTGTAATGATTACAATCGAAGACCTGCTTGTCTCCTCGCAGGTGTTCACCCTCGGCTGGAGGGAGGACATCCGTGTCGGTGACCCCATGCACACCAAGAAGGTCTGCTTCGACGCCATCTCCCACAACAGTCCCGTCACGCTGTACGACTGTCACGGCATGAAGGGCAACCAGCTGTGG